GGGGGGGGGCGGGCCAAGCCCGCCCGGGTCACCTCGGGGTTATCCGCGCTTGCAGCTGCCGCTCCCCCGCCCCCAGGGTCTGTGCAGGGGCCCGCCACCCCCACGCAGCTGGAGAGCCACTCCGCGCTAGCCCAGGAGTCTGGACACGATCTCGACCGACCACAAACTCAGCACTTTCCTACCCTTTGGGGTCCGGTGGCCTCAGCATTTTCCCCAAAGCTTGTTAAAAGGGCGCGATCGCGAAGAGGGAAATTAGTGTTCCCCACCCGCGGTCTAGCGACAGGAAGGGGGTCGGGGTGTAAATCCTTGCACTGCCTCCACTGGCTCAGGAATCAGCGTGGTTTTGACCTTGGCCTTTGGCCCTGGAAAACCGAAGAGTGAGCACACTGGGAGGAGTGGGTGTGCGTCTCTGCGCACCTGCGTGTGCGCAGGACGAGCCGACGCCCGTGCGTCTTTCGGTGGGGCTCGGAGTCTCCGCACCGACCGCTGCATTGAGAAACCCACTCCTCTCTTCCCGCCGCGGGTGCAGAAGGCGCTCAGATTCATTCTGAGCCAGTGCCTTGAAGACAACACTTTGTCCCGGGATGTCTCTCCCGCCAGCATTTGAAGCAGCCTAACGCATTAATACCGGCAATGTGAACCAAAGACGTAGTGGCGCACCCCTGCTCAGTCGTGGCAGGGGACCCTCAGGACCTCTGGAGGTCCACGAAGTCCTCAGAGAACCTCAGTTGGGTCTCTGAAGAACAGCTGGGTGCAAATCACTTGACTCCAACGGCTTTAGAAACAGATACCCGGGTGGCACGAGACGCCCCTGCAGCAGCATCAGATAAATCACTTATTTGTGATATCCCTTCCCAAGAGCCAACTCCCTAGGCAGAGAAAAGTGGCAAACCGCCTTCACTGTCCCCTTGCCTTGGTGAAGCTCCCGCGCACCGAGGTCTTTCTGTGGTTCTTTTACCTCCCAAAACATTTTTTCGTTTGGTCGAGTCCTCAACTCACTCACTGTCGCTCTACATCGGCAGACACGACCGTTTTGAGTACCCAGTTGAGAAGAATAGTTGTTTTATTTTTCGATCCTAGGGCGCCAGACCCTCCCCACCAAATCTCGATGGGCACATTTAATGTTTCTTTCAGCCAGCATTCAAAGACAGTGAGTCCTGCGTTTGCTTTAGGAACTTGGAAGCATTGTAAATGGCCCTTCCGAAAACGATTATTATTATCATCATTATTATTATTCCCTTGAGTCAATACAGGACTTTGCTGGAATGTAGGACGCTACGCCATCCGAAATCTGAGCTGTATCCAACCCTACTCTGAACCTCAAGCAGGGTGAATCTCATGCTCGGCAGAAACACGGGCCCTGAGAGGAGACTTGGCGTAAGTGACCCAACCCGTGCTAGACGCCCAGAGGTCATTTTCTACTCATTGGCAGAGAGTTCCATGCGCGTAGGTCTTTGTGGATTGTGCAGGTACCCCTGCATACGCCAGCCACAAGGCGGAGGACGCCACGAGGCCCCTGGATGTGTGCGCGAGCTTGTGGGCGCTCTCTAGGCCGAATTGGACACGTGCAAACTTGGCCGAAGTTCTGACGCACGCAAGCCGCCTTTTAAGTGGGACAACCAGAAAATCTCTTCTCGGAAAAAGAAGAGCCTGGCAGACGTCGCTAAAAAGGCTGAGAGTTCTGTCGGCAGGTGACTCTTGACTGATCACAACTTCCAGAACTAGACCCAG